ACACGTGGTAGGAGGCGTGTACTGCCACTTTCTGAAGATTGGTGAGGGATTGATACTTGCACTTGTGCATGCTGGCGGCCGGTACAGTATCACGAAAAGGTTGTAGTGCCACGGGTCGGCCCTTGTGCCTGGAAGCATTGGCATTTATGGAAGGACAGTCGAAGAAGATGAGCTGCTGACATCTTGATTGATTGTCGTTTCGTTGGCTGACTCTACTCACCGTGGGCTGTTTTGTGGATGTCTGCTACTCACCAACCCTGTTGTTGTCTTGATCACACTGGTCGTGGCTGCGGTAATTGTACACTCTCCAATAGGAATGTCATCACACAGAACAAACAACAGAATTAGGAAATAGACAAAATAGAAGAAGCTGAATCCTTATTTATTTCTTTTTACTTTTCTTTGTCGTAGGAAAGAAATTGAAGTGAGGCGGTGGAATTTGTTGTTGTCTTTTAAGTTTATTGTGCGGCAAATTCATTTATCAGAATGACTTTTGTATGGAACCGTCTGCGTGCATCCATCTTGACCCGCTTCATCCCCTTTCTTTTCAACCCCATCTCTATCACTCTCTTTGTCGATGAAGAAGAGGGAGTGCTAAAGACCCGTGGTCAAATTGCAGAATGACGACAACTAATGTTGAACCACCTTCGTACATTGTTCCAAGAAATACAAGAACCCGAGGCTGGACACATGTAAGCAGCTTGTTCGATCTGCGTGCAACAGAAGACGAACTACAACAAGCTGAAACTGTTGTCCAGATTATGTAAACCAGCAGAAGAGTGCAGCAAACAATTGATCAAGCGCGGATGGCTCTTGATCACTTTGTTGTGGAACAATTTGCGAAGATAACAGGAAAAGAAGAAACCGAGGAAGAAAGGAAGGCGGCAACATCAGAAAGAAAAGAATAACAGACAAAGGAGATCACGGATGACACCAACATACAACTTCAGACTGCATTGGATGCGAAACTGAAAAAGAGAGAAGCCTATCAGAAGGAAAAGAGAGAAAAAGAAGAAAAGGCAAAGAAAGTAGAAGAAATTAGGCAAAAGTTTAATGTGGAGGGTTCAAAAATTGACTTGGCATCAGTCTTGCATAACATGATGGCCTATCTTGCCCACTTAGAGATAAAGATTGACAATATCACTGACGAACTCCAGACGGTGACAAGACTGGTCAAAGGAAAGAACAAAGCAGTGCATGAGGAGGAGACTGAGGGGAAAGAAGATAAGAAACCCTAAGAGAAATTAAGCAAGATGCTATGAAAGGTGCTAAGAAGACGCCGGAAAAGCCTGAGACCTCTGGAAAAGAACCTAAAGAGTTGGCGAAGAAAGAAGAACCCACTAAGAAGGAAATGAGTAAGAAAGAAGAAGGTGGACGCCCCAAAAGAAAGGAGAAAGTCAAA